TGTGGTCCCCACACCCTATTGTGAAGGTAGGTAAAAGATTAGGTAAAAAAATTATGTACATGTAGCATGACCCATAATCAGATTAGAGATGTACCAGGTAATTGGGCACGCAACATAGAAGGCCATTATAATGTGAATTTATAATAATAATAATAATAATAATAATAATAGGATTGAATTAAGGGATACGGTGCTTTTGTGAGAGGAAAAAATTAATTTAGAAAAAAAAAATGGAAATTTTTTAGGGTAGACTAGAGCTAGAGAAGGAAGTAACCAAGGTAGATTTGGGTATTCATTATATTTCTCATTGATTAATAAGCGAAGGGAATGTATTGCAGTTTAGTCCCTTGGGATTTTGGGAATTGAATAATTTAACTTTATGGTATGTTTATTCAATGGATTTAAAATTTTGAAAAAAAAAAAATCATATCTAAAAATTTAACCATGACTCATTTCAAAACTAAAAAATAAATTTAAAAAATTTAAAAATCAGATATTATTAATTTATATTTATGAAATAATTAATTAAAAAATATTTTATCAATTAAATATAATTAAAGTCACAAATCTATAAAATTTGATTACAAATTATCGAATTTATTGGTTATAAATTATTTTTTGGTCACAAATCAAAAATTCCATAGGACACAAATTATTTCTCTATCACGGATCAAAGATTTTATAGGTCACATATTATTTCTCGGTCACAGATAAAAAATTTTATAAGTCACAGTCGAGCCTAAAAAATTAAAAAAATAATAATAATTTACAAACTTAAAATTATTTTTAAAAAAATAGAAACATTAAGCTGCCTGTTGAATTTTTTTTTTTTTTTTTTTGGCTATAAATATGCGATAAAATTTGGAATTTCATATCAACTTTAGAATTGTCATGATTTTTTTTTTTTTAAAAAAAGAGTCAGCTCTGCTTGCTGAGGCCGAGCCGAAAGCTTAGATCGAACATAAATTTTTTGGCCAAGCAAACTCGAGCAAAAAAAAATCCCAAACCATTTTTACTCTAATCGAGCCCGAGTTTCGACTCGTTGACACTCTTAGATCCATATACAAATCCCGAAGCCTTTTCAGTGAAGTCCAGACCCTTGCACGATTCCTAAGACTCGTGCAACCCTCTAGACTCATTCCGTTGAGGTTATTCATATTTCATGATTTATTTCATGCTATTTACAACTCCCGAGTCACCAGAGACCTTTTATTTAATGGACCTAAGCTCTGGCGATTCTTCTCTCGTGCGGGGAGACTCTTGCAACTCTTCTCCAATGAGGTGCTACCTTGATCAGAGATTGGGAAGGAACGGTTGAAGTTCAAGATGACGAAGAGGGATCAAATTTTGTAAATCGAAGCTAGATGTGCATAGGTTTGGCGATAGTGGTGGATAGAGAGTATGGAATGGAGAAAGAGTGAGAATTAGTTAAAGTTGGTGGAGAAGTATATAAACAGTAAAGAGAGAGTGTAAAAGGGAGGGAAGGAAGGAAGTATTATTTTAGGAATAATTTAAGAGTGTGTTTGGGACACATTCTTTTGAAAAAATGTATTATTGAATAGTAGATTGATGGAGAATGTGTGGTTAAAAATGAAAGAAAATTTATTGATGTGATGGAAAATATTATTTTATTGAAAAATGTGTGGTTGAAAATGAGTAGAAGAATGAGAATGAAAAAAATAATATGATTTTTCGAGTTAAATGTTTCGTTAGTCACTGAATTATACCTCCGTCACGTTTTATTTACTGAACTTTAAAATGTTTTTGAGTAGCCATTAAACTTTAACACATTGCATTCCATCAATTACTCACAGTATTTCATTAGTCACTAAACTTAAAAATGCTTCATAGTGATCATTGAAATTTAACATTTTACACTCTATCACTTACTCACCATGTTTCATTAGTCACTGAACTTATATCTTTGTCACGATTTACTTACTAAACTTTAAAATATTTTTGAGTGGTCTTTGAACTTCATTATGTTTTCGAGTAAAGTTAATTTTCTACGAGATTCGACCCATATCAAGAAAAAAAAATTGATTAGATAATGAAACTTTTAATTTAATACAAGAATATTGACGTTGATCAAAAAAATATAACTTCTCTAATTATCAAGGGGGAAGGACGATTTTAGCTTCCAACCGACACATCTTAATTTAGATCATAATATTTCTCCACATCGAGAAAATAAAATAAAGAAATTATTTCTTTATTTTGATTGAGATCTTGACCCAAATAAAAAAAAATAGAAAATTATATCTCAAACAGGCATTGGAATTTTTTATTTAAAGTCAATAATATTAATCAAAACCTAAATAAAATATAATTTTTAGAGTTATTACAAGGTAGTTCAAGATGAAACAATGATATCGTCTTCATGTATGTTATTTTATATTTTTTTTCAATTTTTGAATAGTTGAATTCAATGAGTGTAAAGTTCATTGACCACTTGAGAACATTTTAAAGTTTTGTGAATAAAACATAACGAAAGTATAAGTTCAATAACTAATGAAACATTGTGAGCAAATAATGAAGTACAACATGTTAAATTTCAATGACCACTTGAAACATGTTTAAAGTTCAGTAATTAACGAAACAATGTGAGCAAGTGATGGAATGCAATGTATTAAAGTTCGTGATCACCTGAAAGCATTTTAAAGTTCATTAAGAAAAACGTGCAAGGGTTAAGCCAGGTGGAAAGAGCAGCTGACCCAAAAAACTAAAGATGTGTTTGTGCCACATTATTTTGGAAGAATGTATTTTGAAATAGTAGATTGATGGAGAATATGTAGTTGAAAATGAAGGAAAAGTTATTGATGTGATGGAAAATATTATTTTATTGAAGAATGTGTGGTTGAAAATTAGTAGAAGAATGAGAATGAAAAAAAGAATGGATACCAAATAGAGGCTAAAAATATGTTTTGAATTTTATATAATTATTCATGTATAACATTGTTTGACAACATCATATTTAGAGTGTGTTTGGAACACATTCTTTTGAAAGAATATATTATTGAATAGTAGATTGATGGAGAATGTGTGGTTAAAAATGAAGGAAAAGTTATTGATATAATGAAAAATATTATTTTATTCAAAAATATGTGGTTGAAAATGAGTAGAAGAATGAAAATGAAAATTTAGTATGACTCAAACATTGGCTAAAAACAATTGTAACATAAAATATAATAAAAATAATAAAAAAACTGGAAAAAGGAATCAAAGTGTAGTAATTGAAAATTCAAAATGGTTGGCAGATCGGTCAATAATTGTACAACCCAAGTCAAAAGGCAATTTTGAAACGTCAAAAACATGGGTCAAACGTCATTTTTAACAAATTCTGCATCTTTGCCCACTCTCATGTACAGAATACAAATGCACTCGCTGCAGGTATTAATGTAAAATAAAGAAAAATAGAATTGTTTACCCTCTTTAAAATTTAAATACTGCTATAAAAAATTAGAGCAAGGGTCTGTTCGATACCTTCTTTTTTTCATGGAAAATGGAAAATATTAGCCTTTTTTCTACTTTTTCAATGTTTGATAGCAATTATTTTACTTGGAAAAAATTTTACAGCCATAACCCGATGCACCTGATTTTCCTGGAAATCATTGCTTTTGTTTTCCTTGTGTTTTGGCAAAAACTGATTTTCCATTTTTTACTTTTCGGCAATGGTAACAAATTTCATAACCAATTGTAAAAAAATATTCACTTTAATGGACAATTTTCATGTAAAATAAAGCCAAACGTGAACAAAAAAATCCAAAATTTCAAATTTTTTTTGGGTAGAAAATTATATCAATCAAACACACTTAATTAACAATTCCCTGAAAAATAATTTTTAGACAATTACTTTCCCTATAATTCGTTTTCTTTCCACTTATTTTCCACATTTACAATCAAACGGACCATAATAGTCTTTTGATGCAACATTTGAATTTTTATTTATCAAAAAGGTCATAATGGTAGAAATTAAACATATTTCTTGAAATTCACAATTTTTTAACCACACATTTCATTACATTTTATCAAAATTTACTAAAAATTCGATTTTAATCTCGATTAAGTTTGACAACTGAGAACCATCAAAAATATATTCATTTGTTTATGTAATAACAAGTGGATGCATTTTTTACGAAATTTAAAATTTCAATTTAATATGACATAAAACATAATATCTATAAATTAATTCACAGTTATAATGGACTCGTAATGAATATTTATGTGATCAAATAAATGGAAAAGAACAGCAAAAATAAATAAATAACTCAAAGTCGCAATATTCAAATTAACAAAATAAATAATAAATAGTTTATTTACAAATGAAATGGTGGCCCAAAGTCAAAGTAATATTCTTCTTTCAATAGCCTACACATGAGCCGTAGTACGCAACCCCAGGCCTTTTCAGTTCCCGAAGCATTGACCTGTCAGCACACTTTGCGTATTCAAGTGTCCCTTCTCTCCCACGCCGACTCCGACCCCAGTTGTTAAAAATCTCCGTCCAGTAGAAGTATTGAAACACGGAGATAAAGGGTGTCTGAATCTGTGTTTGTTTGCAAACCTAAAGATTCTATCTTTTCAAAAAAGAAAAATTGGAAGAGCTAGAGTATTCAGCTCCTGAACCCGGTACATTGGGCTGTTGGGTTTACTGTATTTATATGGTGATGATGAGAAAGTTTTAACATATCCGAAACCTACCATTTCTTTAGCTCGAGGAGGTGTTTAATTGGTTTTTATGTACACATTGAATGAAACGAAAGATTGTTTAGTAGTTTTGCTGCTTGATTTGTTTGCTTAGAGACCTCGGGCTTTCAAGCTTTCTTGATATGTTTAGTTTATGGAGTTAATGTCGGGTGGATTCTCATAAAACATTTAATTAATGATGAAACGTTTGTATTAGTAGCTTGGGAGAATTAAGGAAAAGCTTATGGCCATTTGTAATTTTGTTTGATCATTTGTGTTGTGTGTAGTACTGGTAGTTGTTTTTCTTTTCTTTAAATATGAAGAAATTGAGATCAGGTGATAATCTTGAGTCAAATGTGGACAAGGGTATTCCAAAAGATTGGGGAAGGAGGGAGGACGATTTGGGTTTGCACCGCTCATCATCTTCGCGTAGGAGCTCTTATTACAGGTCTTCTGAGAGTGGGAAAAAGGGTTCGTCATCGTCATCATCTAGGTATGATGATCGAGAGAGTTCAAAATTCGTTAGAAAGCGAAAGGATTATGATTTTTCTAGTTACGATAAGAGAAAGAACTACAATCGTCACAAAGATGGAAATGAAAGAGAGATTTTGAGCTCTTCCCCCCGGGCTGGATATGGCAAGGATGGAATGAATAGTTATGAAAGATTTTTGGGACCAAGGAGAGACTTTCCGAAGGGGTTTAGGTCAGAAAGGGATAGGTCGGGGAAGGAGGGTAGAGTATCATCTTGGTGGAAATTTGGTGCTGTGAAAGAGAGTGATGATGGGACCGGGAGTGATGGCAGTGAGTTAGTTAGAGAAAATAGAGTTGAATCAGAGCATGTAGGTAAGGTGAAGTCTCCTCAGGGAAAGAGAGATGCGAAATCGCCAGCTTGGTCTAAGGACTCTGGTATTGAGTGGTCGAAGAGTGTTGTCGAAGTCCAGAAATGTGAAGATTTGCCAGTGGAGTGTGGTGTCAGTGGTAGTGAAAGGGAAGAAGGGGAGCTGGAACCTGATCCTCAGCCAGTATCTTTAGGTGATGCAGTTGTTATGGATGAAAGTGCTGTTGAATTGAACTCCTCTCAGAAGGAGCTCAATAGCGAATGCCATGGTGAGAATAATGTTTTTCAGGAGAAGGCAAATTTCTTATCTGTAGAACAAGAAGATGCGAGTAAGGTGGACGACTGTGAGAAGGCAGCAAAATTTGGACTATCCAAAGAAGCCCAAGAAGTCCTGAACAAAGCTATGGAGTTGCCATATTGTCCAGATACTTCACTCCAAGGAACAGGCGGAAGTGGAGATGAAAATGTAACGACGATAGGCAGTGGAGGTAGCAATGATGAAGAGGCCATAATAGAAGCTCACTGTGGGGAAATTGAAGCTACGTGTGCCATGAATCCATCAGCGTCAAAAGAGGAACAAAAGGAAGACAAGGGTGTTGATGTCGAAGTTAAGGAAGTTGATACTGATATGGCTGAAAATGAGAGATTTAGAGAAGAAAGTGAAGTGCCTGTGATAGAGCTGACAGGGCAAAATTTGAAGGATAAGGGCGAAATTGTTGCATTATTTTCAACAAATAATTCTATTCATGCTGAAGGTTTGGAGGTTGAAAACATTTCAAAGGAGGACCTAGAAAGATTTGGAGAGAATGAAATGGAAGATCCAAGTACAAAGGGATTCGAATTTTTCTCCACTAATCCAGTTAAAGAGCAGGACAAAGTTGAGCAGTCAAGTCATAACCAGCCTAAAGATGAAAAATTGGCTCTTGAACTTTCTCTTAGTTTGCCTAATGTTTTATTACCCAGCGGTGCTCATAATAGAGGCCTGGCACTTGGTTCTCCTAGTCATGGAAAAAGTGCTCAATCCTTTCCTAGCACATTTCACACTAATTCTGATGGATTAACAATGTCAATGTCTTTTTCAGGCTCTCAGCAGTTCTCTCACAATCCTAGCTGTTCACTGACTAACAACACATTTGATTATGAGAAATCTGTCGGTAGTCGGCCCATATTTCAGGGAGTGGACTGGAAATCTCTGTCTTCAGATGAGAATAAAAACAAAGACAATTTGGTGTCTCAAGGCATGGGATCCGAAGGAAATGGCTTACAGAAGCACTCTCAAGCATTTCGAGTGAATTTAAGTAGACAAGCTGTTCCAAAAGTACCCGATGAATTAGAAAAGCAGGTACGTTTTAATACACTCTTATCTGGAGCACATAGTGTTGAGTCTCATGAAAATGGACCACAATATAGCAAAGAAAGAAGACAAGTAACGAAAGAGAAAGATAGTGGTACTTTACCTAGGATCAATTACACAGATGGAGAAAAGCAAGCATTGGTGGTTGGAGCTGACTTTGCTGAGTCAATAATTACTATGATAGTTTCTGAACCTGTAGAGTCAATGGCCCAGAGGTTTAATGATATAGCCGAAAAGCATGTGGCATGTGTGAAGGATTTTGTCCATGACATCATCTCAAATCCAGGTAAGCGGCCGCAGCTGAGTGCTTTGCAGAAAGTATTGCGGAACAGGTCAGACATTCAGCTGGACGTTCTAATGAAGTTGCATCGTCCTCAGTTGGAGATCTTGGTGGCTCTCAAAATGGGTCTGCAAGTATTCCTCAAGCAAAATCACAACATACCGCCTTCTGATTTGGCGGAGATATTTTTAAATATGAGATGTAGAAATCTCACTTGCCGGAGTCTTCTGCCTGTGGATGAATGTGATTGCAAAATATGTGTGCAGAAGAATGGCTTTTGCAGGGAGTGCATGTGCCTTGTGTGTTCCAAGTTTGACATGGCCTCTAACACATGTAGTTGGGTTGGGTGCGATGTATGTCTGCATTGGTGCCATGCAGATTGTGGGTTACGGGAGTCTCACATTAGAAATGGACACAGTGTATCTGGTTATCAAGGCACTACAGAAATGCAGTTCTATTGTGTGGCCTGTGATCATCCTTCTGAAATGTTCGGTTTTGTGAAAGAAGTTTTCCAGAACTTTGTCAAAGAATGGACGGCAGAAAACCTTTCCAGAGAACTTGAATACGTGAGAAGAATATTTTTTGCTAGCAAGGATGAAAGAGGGAAACAACTTCATGGGATCGCCATTCAGATGCTATCTAAATTGAAAAATAAAGCTGGCCTTCTGGAGATGCAAAAGCAAATCATGGCTTTCTTCAGTGGTAGGCACTATATCCTCTATCAAGTTGGATTATTTTTGCTATATTTTAGCTGCAAAGCATTTGCCTTATTTGAGCACAAAGCTTATAGTTTAACTATACCATACCTCACTTTATGTTGGAGTAAAGCATCATAATTCTTAACATAAAATTTGGAGAAAATACAAATGATGCGTGTTTTCTTTATAAACTGAATCTTTCTTTTCTAGCTTGATGCTTTTGGAACTCCTTTTCTTGTAGGTTTTCTTGTTGAATATTGTTATAAACTTCTGTTCTGACACCCCTAAATAATGATTAGTACAAATACTAATATGTATCTTGTTGTGTTTGAAGATAAACTGAGTCTATGTAAAAGTGTATTTTCCTTTGGCTCATAGGGGGTGCAATTCATGTACATAATTTTGAATTATCTAGTATATGCAAGTGAGTCATTAATGATGAGCCTTAATTGTTGATTGTTTTAAATTATATTTTTCTAATTTCAATGCTTTTATTTTTTATGTTTGCTTCCATTTGTCTCATTATTGCTGTTTGTAAAGAAAAACTCCAGTGATCTTTATTTCTAAACTGATGCTGCAGAAAATAATCTGACTTCAGTTTTTCTCCAGCAGTACCTTCTACGATGCAGCTTAATTAATTTTCAATGTCACTTCACCTTGTTTTCGGATTATAACAAGCTCCTAAGAAAATTTAAGATTATGGCCGGATTGTTGGAATGAAACTCCTTTTTTACTTACAGTTGGTAATTATTTTGCTTCTTTTTTCATACATGCTTTTCTTTGTCGCTATATATGCACATCACCAGGGTCCAGGTGTAAATTGTGATCTTAACACCTTATGACACTTCCTGTATTCCTCTTTATTCTTCTGATTTGTCTAAATATCTGATCATATTGAGCTTGCGTCCTGTAGTGACCAAAATCTTGAGGATCGTCTAGTTAATTTCCAGCCTTAATCATTCATCTGATCCAATGAGTCAGACCTTGAGTAATATATGTATTTGGTTCAATGTCTGTCACTGACTAGGAGAATGGCATGCACTTGCTTGTGATTGGTTTAAGAATGCATAAACCTGGTTGAGTGGGCGAACAGAACTTTCCGAGATCATTTCAAGATTCTGTGGCTGATAATGAATTGCCAAATTAGCTGCTAAATAATCCTTAATAATGGTGCCTTCCAGTTCAAACCACGCGTTATCTTTTCTGTATTTATGTTGCTCTCTCTCTGACCTAAATAAGATCTTTGCTTATCTTCCTCTACAGCCAATTTTATGCTAACATCCATTTGCTTGATTGCAGAAGTTGATTCGCTTAAGCCTGGGAACTCTTCTGCTTACTCCAGGAAAGACGTGCCAAGAAAAATTCAAGAAGGCCATAATCGCATTTCTGGTTCCAGTCAAGGTGCTGCGTGGTTAAAATCTATTCATTCAGAGAAGGCTCCTCGCGTGGAAAATTCAATCAGTTTACTTCCTATCTTTGATCCAAAAAGGAATGATAAATATACAAGCAGCTTGGATTTGCACACAGATGTTCGAAAAGAATCAGCTTTCGAGGAATTGGAAGGCATTGTGAGAATTAAACAGGCTGAGGCTAAGATGTTCCAAACACGTGCAGATGATGCGACAAGGGAAGCTGAAGCTCTGAAGCGCATAACAGTCCCAAAGAAGGAAAGAATTGAAGAAGAATATGCAAACCGGATCATGAAACTACGACTGGCCGAGGCTGAGGAGATGCGCAAACAAAAAGTGGAAGAGCTCCAGGCTTGTGAAAGAGCATATCAGGAGTACTTTAATTTGAAAATGAGGATGGAAACAGATATCAAAGACCTTTTATTGAAAATGGAAACTACGAGACGAACTTATCCACACAACTGAGTAATAGGTTAGTGTTTTTATGAACCGTCCAACATTATCTATTGTTGCAAGTTTAGGAGTGATTGAAGTTGTACTTTTGTTTAAACAGAATTTGTACAAAGGTACCCGTGTTACATCTCCAAAAATTACTAGTGTATTTGGAAAGATACTATCTTACATGTTATTCCATTCTTTTATTTCTTGTTTGGCTGGAACATTCTCTTTTTCTTCTGGTTCTCTTTTTTATTCGCCCGGGGCTGAGGAAAAGAAGAATCGACCAAGCAATAACATACCTCGGTTTCCACTTCACATGCAATAGCTACCATAGGTTTTGAGTCAAGAGAGAAATTGCATTTTTAATTAGAGTAATGCTATTGAGTTCACAAACTACCATGTGACTACCATGTATTTGTCGCGCAAAGTGAGCTTACAGGAGTGGTTTCAATAATTTTTGAAAAACTAAAATAATAAAGTAATTGAAGTTGTCAAAAATGATTGATTGCAAAATAAATTCAAAAACGTAGCATGTGACTTGTCAATTGATTGAGGCATATCGCTCGTTTTTAAGGATATTCAAGTTCTTGGCAATATCATGTAGTTCAAGAACATGGAACACCAAGGATATTCAAGAGTCCTGCAATATCTTGTAGTTCAAGAACATGGAACACCAGAAAAGACGAGACTCATCTTGGTGAGGATACTACCATCTGACTAACTTAAGACACATTGGATCATTGTACTCAACAATCTCGACTGATATTAGAATAGTGTTCCATGTTCTTTTATAACCAAGATTCTAAAATACATGTTTATCAAAAAAAAAAAAGATTCTAAAATACATAAAACACGACAAAGATGACAGTTTACTCATGAAACAACAGAGAGTTGCCCTTCATTGGCAAGCAAATGTGCAGGCAATAAACGAAATTCAGTAGGTCAACTAAAAGATTAGTGTCCTAAAAAAACTGGAAGAATTAGCCTAATGTTCATCAAAGTCAGAGTCATCATCAGCAACATCACTGATTGAATCGGCAGCATCACTGTCTAAATCTATAGCTGCTGCATCATCTTCAGAATCATCATCACTTAGAACATAAGTAGCTTTCCTGCTATTAGCCCTCTGTGGTCTGGCTCTCTGAACCACCACTTGGTTACTATCTTCTGTACCAGCCGAAGTCGGAGACTCGTCTTCCCCCATTGTGGCCATCTTTCCCAGCACTGAACTACTTTTCTTGTTAAATGGAGATATCCTCATTTTTCTTACTTTTTTCTCAGGAGAATCTGCTGCACCCTGTAAAACTTCTGTTATCAGTTTCTGACCCACAAGCTGAGATTGCTTAGCGGCTGGTCCTCTCTTCTTCATCCCTGCATGGGATTTTGTTGTTTTAGCAGCTGCAGGTTTTTTCCCTGCTTTCTTTTTCTCATCTGCAGGCATATCGAGGTCAAAGTCTTGGTCATCCTCATCATCAGAAATCTCGGTAACAGTTGACAAAGGCTTTTTCTTTGTAGCAGCAGCCCTTTTTGTTGGTCCTTTTTTCTTGATCTGCACCTCAGAAACTTCTGCTTCTGCAACTGTGAAAGAAAAATAAATCAGATCAACTCTTAGTATTTCTTTCTCAAATAGCATAAAGTTGATTGTGTTGGATGATAAATCACATATGATTCTCATGCATTTCAGTTCCATCAATTGGTGTAATTGTGGTAGCACTATGTAGATGCTGGCATTTTTTAGCACATAGAGCTTTACCTTCTGCATGATCAGGGGAAGAATCAAGGTTGTAGGCTGCAATCCGTTCATTCAGCGCAAGAATCTCGTCATCATCCTCTTCATCCTTCAATGCAGCAACTGATTTACCCTGTCAATGTTTGTACCAAAAAAGTAAAAGAGAGAATCTCCGAATAATTAAACTTAATCAGCAGGAAGACCAACTTTAGCATAGGTAGAAACATTTTTCCGTACCTTTCTTGGGGCTTTCTTTTGAACTGCAGCCCTGGAATTATCTGAGGGGGAAACAAGTCGAATATTTATAGATACAGTTACCAATGAAACATGAGACCTAAATATATAAAGTTTGAACGTACCTGTTTCAATCTCGGAGTTAGTTGATATTTCCATTGGCTCCACAACAGATTCTGTTTTGCTGACCTTCTTATTGTTCTTTCTTGGATTCTTCATTGCTGGTTTAGGTGCCTTCCTCCCCCCCTTGGGTTTAATCTCTAATTCATCTTCTTCTGTAAGGGCCTCTCTTTTGTCTTGTTCCTAAATTAGAACAAAATTCAGCAGAATGGAAGAAGTATCACATTAATATATATACAAGACTAAAGAGTGATAAAATCTCACATCAAGTTCGCTTTCTAGAGCATTGAGATCTTTAATCCATAAAGACTTGATAGTTGCCTGTCTCATTTCTTCAACTTCTTGGTTCAGCTTATCCCTATTATTACACAACTCCTGCACCTTCTCGATGGTTAAGGACCCAATTGACATAGAAAGCAAGTAGTCATAATCACTAGCCCGAACTCCTTGGCTAGTGACCATGTCGGAATTCTCTTCAGTCTCTTCAGGAACATCACTCGACCCAGCAACAGAAATTTCCACGGTCTTTGTCTTTTTGGGAAAAGGAGTGAAACCCTTATCCTTCAACTCAATGACCAGATCAGCTCTTCTCCTGTTGCTCACTGTGATCTTTCCTTCCACAACATTCAAAATAAATCTAACCTTGTTTTCAAGTATCAACAGCTCCCTTTCAAGGTTGTCCATCAGAACTTTCTGCAAGGATTGTCTCAGTCAGTAATTATGTACACTATTCACACTTACCATTCGTCATAATTTACAAACTTGCCTTTCTTTTCTCGTAAAACTCAAATCTTATAGAGAAAAAGTCCTCAAGAACTGCACAAGGAAACAATTAAATGGTGAAATGTGATCAGATTTTCAGTAAACTAAGCTCTAATTGTTGTCAGTTGCGTACTTTTTTCTGGAGTGTCATATTTCTTGATTACGCCTTTTGAGTCGAATAGGTGCATGTTACTTGTACTTATAGTAGTGGTTAGCTTAAACTTCTTCAGCAAACCCTCTTGCTTGGCTATCATCATATTCTCCTCAGACAAATCAATCTCAAAATTCACAGAATCAGTAGTATGGTACTCCCTCACTTCCTGCAAAATGTAAAATCAAGTCTGTGAGATTACCAACTGTGGCACACATTGCCATCATATGGACATTGACAAACCTCAATGAACGGATAAAGGGACTCTAGAAAGTCCTTGTAATCCTGAGTCCACTTCCGAACTGGAAGCTCTGTAATCCTTAGCATTGTATCACTGACTTCCTCTATAATTCCAGTAGCAGTGTAGGTCGCCCCAGCTTCCTTTGTTGCTGTTTTCTCTATAGTTCCTCTGAATCCTTTGTACCATGGATCCATAGGCTCCATTGGTTCATCGTTCAACATATGCCTCACGTTGGCAATAATGTCACGTGGATTATAATTAGGAACAAACGAACTCCATCCCGTCCCTATTCCTTCACTTCCATTTACCAGAACCATTGGTATGATTGGCACATACCTAGATCATAAACAAAAATAGGTTTCAAATTGTGAACAAGCAAATCTTTCACCTTCATCACTCACGCTAAAACTTACCAAGTAGGCTCAATAGTTTGCCCATCTTCATTTTGATAATCCAGTATAATGTCATCATCCTTCGGAAATAGAAATCGTGTAATGGCCGAAAGCTGAGTGAATATATATCTTGCACTTGCATGATCTTTGCCTCCCTGTACAAGTTCATAATCATGTCATGTTCAAATTGACTGTTTCCTGAATGGTTGGGGCCAAAAATGATATTGAGATACAGAAGAATCATGCTATCTCACCTGATTTCTTGTACCGAATTGACCATTTGGTCTTAGAATATTTATGTTGTTGCTGCCCACATAGTTTTGAGCCATGCCAATAATGGTACTGGCAAGACTCTGCTCACCATGATGGTAAGCGGAGTGCTCAGATACATAACCAGCAAATTGGCCAACTTTTGCTTCATGGACAAAGTTTCTCTTAAAAGCACAGAAAATAATCTTTCTTTGACCAGGTTTCAATCCGTCAACCATGGATGGAATTGATCTCTGAAGATCAGCTATTGAAAACAGTATAAGTTCCTTGTTGACAAAGTCACGATACTTGATGAGTTTTTCTTCCTGATCAAGGTAAGTGCCAGGCTGCAAAATAAGAAGTCCAAATTTGTTTCAGAAAATTATCGCTGCAATGATGTTCTAACTAGTAGCCATCAAATTTTCCATGTTAAACTGACACTCCAAATCGCAGTTTCCAACCTCAAATTGTCTGAGCCAATTCTTCCTTGCTTCTATCTTCTTCTTACTAAAAGCAAGTTCTATAGCCTCCCCATCATGGTCATCCCCCCAGACAAAGTCCTTCTTGTGCTTCCCAAGATCCTTAAAGTACTCCTTCCCTTCCTTATCTGTACTTGTTCCTAACCCCTACAATGAAGTTAGAAATGAAAAAACAGAATTAATTAATGAATACAGCAAAAACATTAATCAATTTTATTACATAATTTGACAGAGAACCTTGGAAATTCATAATATACCTAATCCATTATCATATATCAGGGAATATACAAACCTTATAGTATTTTATAGACCAATTTTTCGCTCTGTCTCCCAAACTTTCCTTCCATGATTCGTACTCAGGCATTGTATAAAATGACCTTTTCTCCCCATTTTTATGAGTAGCCTGTGAAACATGATCAACAAATTTTAAAAAATTAAAAAATCAAATACCTGTACTAATTTTTAGAACTGAGGCTAGTCTGTGATATTGTAATACAAACCTTTACAATCGGAGTAATAAATTCAACCAAAAAAGAAGGAATTTTGAGCAATGATGGCCAGAATGAGTGGATGAAATTAATCAATAGCCCCTTGATATGGGAACCATCATGATCCTGCACAAAGTACAAAATTGAATTTTAGCTGAAAAGTCCACCTATCATTATAATGTTGGGTACCATGGACATGAAGAAAGAAATTGGCCAAGAATAGGACCACATTACCTGATCAGTCATTATCATCAAGTGTCCATATCTCAGTGATTTGATGTTATCGTACTGTTTACCATGCTGCAATCCAAGAATCTTCTTGATGTTCTGAATTTCAGCGTTGTCATTGATCTGCTTAGTACTTGCGTCTCTAACATTCAACAATTTACCCCTAAGGGGGAACACTCCATAGTTGTCCCGCCCCACAACCGATAATCCAGCAATCTGAATAAGATTCAAAGCACTTAAAATTACTGTCGATGATAAATATCTTTAATGAGTCAAAACACTTGAGTAAACTTACTGCAAGAGTGGCTGCCGAATCTCCTTCTGTCAAAATCAGGGTACATTTCTCAGAGTTTTTGCCTCCAGCAGCATTAGCATCAGCTAGTTTTGTAAGGCCAGCTATTCTCTTGCTTTTTGTTCCGTCTGTTTTCTTAAGATCTTTTTTCTCCTTGAAGTCTGCCCATTCCATGATACTGTTCACTATCTCAGAATTTGCCACTGTACAGAGTAAACCAGTGAATGTCATTACCAATCTCTGACAATCAGACAATTGGCATCTGTTAAAAGTAATGATCACAAACCTTTACTGAGGAACTTGTCTGAGAGTCTACATTCGGAACCAAAACTTTTCTGGCGAAGCGTCAAAGTTTCTTTGGTTTGAGAATCAAAAGCAGGGTTGTCAATGAGGCAATTAACAAACACCCAGAGATGGTTCTTCACCGAATGGGATTTAAGGTTGGCATTCTTTTTCTTCTTGTTTACATACTCAGCAAGATGATTTGCTATCTGATTAGTTACATAATCCACATGTGTCCCACCCTTGATTGTTGAAATTGAATTCACAAAGCTGACCTGGCAAAATTAACCAGTGCATTAGCAACTTTACACTTCAATTCCTCGTATATGAGCTTTGCCATCCTTTGCCAGGTACCAGAGAAGATAAGTTTTCAACTTCAATTGTAATTATATTTTAACTTAGTGAACCAGTGAATTTATTCCCATACCTGTTGAAATTGTCCTTCGCTCAGACTTACACAAACTTCCCACCTATCTACCTTCTCTTCCATTCTGCTAAATTATAATATCATTAGTATTCCACAATTGACCAAAAGTAACAATCCCAAATAAAAATGAGAAAAATATCGAACACAATATAACAGTGAGATGGATCTAGGTTGGACCTGAAAGCAGATTTCAAGTAAAGGTTGCAATATTCGCCAAAAGATTTGACCCGAATGTCTTCCCCATTCAGTTCCACCTTCACGGTCTTTCCAAGGCATCCTGCCATGTCAACCACCCGCTTCTTCATCAGGGCAAGCACATCATCCTCCAGATGAGTCATGTTGAACTTGGCTAAGTCTGGCTTAAATGTGACCTTCGTCCAATTCTCACCCTCTTTGCATTTTGATATAACAGGCTGAGACTTATTCCCCATGTTACAAGAGAAAACCTTTATAAAAGAAACGAGTCAGCAAAATCATTACCATCATCAAAGGCTAACATATAGACTGACAAAAAATTAGCACAAATTAGAAATGTAATTTTTCAAGTGATATTATCTTTAATTAATCCAAAGTGATCTCAACACTTGAGGAAGACTATCTCAGTGATTGAACTCTATAACATAAAACATTGAAGAACAATATCAGGCATTAAAAAATAAAGATGAATGATTCGAGAACATTCAAGAATTAACTAACAGGAAAACAACACAAAGAATCAGGCAGATGATTGTCAATTACATATTTTTTTAAAAATGTCACCTAAATTAAGTTCTAAATCTACAAATGGTAAAATTCAAGTGTCTTCAAAAATTAAACCCCGGATTTTGGATTTCACAGAAAAACTCCATAGTGAGTAATCATCAAATCCTTATAACATCATCCATGAAAAGAGAAAAAAATGTTAAAAGAAAAAGAATTAACCTAAACTTCGTTTAATAAAATCAAGAAAAACCAGTGTGAAATAACCAAAATCCAAGATATTTCCAGAATCGGTACAATATTCAAAATTGACCAGAAACCCTTGAATCAGAAATTAATATAAAAATTAACTAACCAATAAAACGAAATCCAACTGAAAGAAACATTTTGTGACTATACCTGCTTGTACTTCTTCTGCCTTCTTCCATCAGCAGTCTCGATTATGAACTCCGTGGAGAAAATATTAGTAAGTTTTGCTCCGTATCCATTTCTTCCACCAGTAGTCTTCTTCTCCTGGTCATCATAGTTACTGCTAGTCAACAAGTGCCCAAAAATCAACTCCGGAACATAAACCCCTTCCTCCTGGTGGATCTCCACCGGCACACCATCGCCATTGTTGTAAACGCTAATGCAGTTGGCCTCGGCATCGATAGTGACCTTCAGGGAGTTCATTTTCGGATCTCGCTGTTTGTTGTCAGCAGCGTTGACAAGAATTTCATCAAAGATCTTGTAAAGTCCAGGGACATAGGAGATGGCTTTCTGGACCATCTGATTATCTTCATAGACCCAAAGAGTCTGGCTGTGTTTCTCAATGGATCCAATGTAGGTGTCAGGTCGCAGGAGGATGTGTTCGAGCTGGGTCTTTTTCTGGTAGGTTTGCTCAATGGTTTTTCCGGCGGCACCTGCTCCGGCGCCGGCGGTGTCGTGTGGCAAAATGTTGGCATTGTTGCTGGTGGTTAAGGGGGCTTTTTTCGGAGGCATGATGGAACAGAGAGCGAAATTTTGAGGAAAGGTGTAGAGAAATGGAGGGTTTTGACACGGAGAGAGTGTCGATTAGCGAATTACAGAGTGAAAATGGTGGTTCGTGGAGGGCTTAATAGAGGCGGGACAACGGTACCTTTTTGGCGAATTTGAAATTTGAATGGACGGTGAGGATTGGGAGAAGCGGGAGAGGAATTGAACGGTGAGGATTTTTTATTTCACATTTGACCGGGGGAGGAGGGTACACGTATTTACATTTTAGCCCCTGTTTGGCCCCCCTTTTTGGGGATGGAAAATTTTTAGAATAGTGATTGATAGAAAAATATGTTATTGAAAAGTTTTAGATTTGTGTGTAATATTATTTTATTTGATGAATGTATGATTGAAATGAAGAGAGAAAAAAATTAATTTAATGAAATTTAATTTAATAGGGCTCAAACGGGGTCTTAAACTTGTTTTGCTACAAAAAAAAAAAAGGTTGGGGACATGGTTAAAAACAAGTAGGACACGTATCATTCACTAATTGAACAGATTAAAAAAAAAATGACCTAAATACTATTTAGAATCACTGATATTTAACACGAATCTAATGGGCAACACTAGTTGTATTAAATTACATGTTCCATTAAATGAATAACATAATTTCACATTTAATTAAATCTATCACAAATTGCCACGTAAACTGGTATTTTAGGCCTTGTTTGAGAGAGCTTTCAATCAAATTAAAATTGAAAATATAGCTGTTATTGGGTCCCACTCGTCTAATAAAAGTCAACAATAACGGTTATATTTTCAATTTTAATCTGATTTTAATCCCTCCTAAACAAGCTCTTAATATCACTGGTATTAGATAGCATTATTCTTAAATTTTTTAAAAATTTTGACCACTTTTGACATTTGTACTAGCTATCAATTTTCATATTAAAATGCGTAACTATCATTTTGAATTATACAAATCAGAAGGAAAAGGAAAAATAAAAATCAAAGATAAGAAAACGAAAAAATAGAAAATTATAACAAAGTTGAAAGAGGAAAATCAAAAGTGAAGAGTAACAAATCAAGAGGATTTGCCAAAATTATTTAGGTACAATATGATAGAGGGAATGAAGCAAGCTCTAGTAAGTGATGGATAAAGAAGAGATAAAGCCCTTGTTTGAAAAATTAACTCATAATTTATTCAAATTCAATGAAAAATCAACTAGAGATAATTTGAAATTAAAATTGTTGTTACATCAATTTTTTATGACATATGTGACCATCACCAAAGCCTATTTTGTAGAATGCAGGCCTTCGCGCCATCGAACGTTAATCGTGAGACATTCGTGACCAGTATAAAATTATTCCTTAGAATTAAGAGCTTGTTTGTGATAAATTAAAATCCAATTAAAATTGAAAATATAGTTGTTAGTGGGTCTCACTCGTCTAATAAAAGTCAACAATAACGACTAGTTTTTCAATTTTAATCTCTACCAAACACACTCTAAAACAATTTTTTGGCCTCAAAGCTTGTGTCTTCAATTTATTGTACAATTGGTCCTCCATCTTGCAATCTTTTTCAAATTTAGTCCTTCAACACTTTTTCTTCAATTATGATCAGTGACGGACACGGACCCAACATTGAAGTTCAGCCCGAGCGGACGTTGATCGGTCAACGTCGACAATTAGCTATCGTAAAAGCGAAGTCTTTTATTAATATTTAATTAAATAATATTAAAAATTACTCAATATTTTCAAGTGCTATATTTTTAGTGTTAGAAACTTGCAGTGTTTTGCATCATAGTTTTGGAGTACTCTGTATACAGAAGTTTTTCATTATTTTTCCTCTATGAGTATTAATTATCACTGCCCGTATAACTACTAAGGGCTCGTTTGGTGAAGTTTTTGTTTGCTAAAAAACTGATAACCTGATTTTTTACCACACATTATTCAAAACTTTCACCCAATGTTTCACCTGACATTTCATAGGATAGTTTGAATGTAGTGTCATTATATATTTGTTGGTAATGTAAAAGTGAAGTGTCAACATTCATAAATCCAAATTTCCAAATCCAATTCCAAACCCTAAATCCAATTTCAATTCAAATCCAAATCCAATTCCCCTAATTCCAATTCATAAACCATACATGAAACAACACTAAAATTTGGATAAAACATGATTTCATAAAACATAAATAGATAATAACACCAAAAACAAAACAAACAAACAAAAAGATGGGCAAAAATGAGAAAACGCACCGCGGCGAAGCGGAAGTTGCAGCCGTTCATTCACGAATCACACTGGCGGCCGGTCAGTGGTGGTGAGGATTCACCGACAGACGGGAGAAGGCTGCCGGACAGCTGTGGCGGAATTCGGTAGAAAATCAGAATCGCCAATCGCATCAAAGCCTTGAATTGAAGGAAATGATTTTGTTTCCAACAATTTTAATTTCAATTGGGGAAAACGGGTTGGGCTCATGGGCTGGACCTATATAATTAAGTAATGGGTCGAAAAACAAATGCCTAACCCAATTACAAAAGAAAAAGAAAAGGGCTAAACTGGGCCTATATGATTAAGTATTGGGCCCAACCAAATTTTTTTTTTATACAAAAAAGGGCAGTGCAGGGCTGGGCAGTGAGCAGCAATGGTCCAATCTAGAGCTTGTTTGGTAGGGATTTTTGGGGGAAGAATTGATTTTGAATAGTGATATGATGGGAAATGTGTGGTTGAAAAAGAAGAAAAAATTATTGATGTCATGGAAAATATTATTTTATTGAAATTATCACTGCCCATATAACTACTAAGGGCTCGTTTGGTGAAGTTTTTGTTTGCTAAAAAACTGATAATCTGATTTTTTACCACACATTATTCATAACTTTCACCCAATGTTTCACCTAACATTTCATAGGATAGTTCGAATGTGGTGTCATTATATATTTGTTGGCAATGTAAACGTGAAGTGTCAACATTCATAAATCCAAATTTTCAAATCCAATTCCAAACCCTAAATCCAATTTCAATTCCAAATCCAAATCCAAATCCAAATCCAATTCCCCTAATTCCAATTCATAAACCATACATGAAACAACACTAAAATTTGGATAAAACGTGATTTCATAAAACATAAATAGATAATAACACCAAAAACAAAACAAACAAACAAAAAGATGGGCAAAAATGAGAAAACGCACCGTGGCGAAGCGGAAGTTGCAGCCGTTCATTCACGAATCACACTGGCGGCGATCAGTGGTGGTGAGGATTCACCGACAGACGGGAGAAGGCTGTCGGATAGCTATGGCGGAATTCGGTAGGAAATCGGAATCGCCGATCGGATGGGAGAAGGCTGCCGGACAGCTGTGGCGGAATTCGGTAGGAAATCGGAATCGCCGATTGCATCAAAGCCTTGAATTGAAGGAAATGATTTTGTTTCCAACAATTTTAATTTCAATTGGGGAAAAAGGGTTGGGCTCATGGGCTGGACCTATATAATTAAGTAATGGGTCAAAAAACAAATGCCTAACCCAACTACAAAAGAAAAAGAAAAGGGCTAGACTGGGCATATATGATTAAGTATTGGGCACAACCAATTTTTTTTTTTTTTTTTTTTAAAAAGGGCAGTGCAGGGCTGGGCAGTGGGCAGCAATGGTCCAATCTAGAGCTTGTTTGGTAGGGATTTTTGGGGGAAGAATTGATTTTGAATAGTGATATGATGGGAAATGTGTGGTTGAAAAAGAAGAAAAAATTATTGATGTCATGGAAAATATTATTTTATTGAAGAATGTGT